CATGAAACACTCGTTCCTGATGAGAAACTGTTTTGCTGCATTGATGTCAAGTGTGCTGCTTTTCTCCAGTGTGGATTTTCATGTGTTTCTTAAGAGTAATCAACTGTACGAAACTCTTTAGACACTGATCACATGTGTACGGTTTCTCTCCAGTGTGAATCCTCTCATGTGTTTTCAGGTTTTCTGGCTGACTGAATCTCTTGTCGCAGTGTGAACACTCATACGGTTTCTCTCCAGTGTGAATCATCTCATGTCTTTTCATGCCTCCTGACACAATGAATCTCTTGTCGCAGTGTGAACACTTGTAAGGTTTCTCTCCAGTGTGAATCCTCTGATGCCGTTTCAATTCTCCAGCCGTAATAAAAGTCTTCTCACACTCAAAGCACATATACTCTTTCACACCAGTGTGGATCTTCTGATGTGTTCTTTAATTTGTTATCCGTGTAAAACTCTTTCCACACTCAGAACAGGAATACGGTTTCTCCTTTGTGTGAACTCTAAGATGGTTCTTCAGCTCTGAAGCCCTCAAAAATGTTTTGCCGCATTGATCACATTTGTGTGTTTTCTCTCCAGTGTGGATCAGCTTGTGTTTATTATGGTTTGATAAAACTCTGAAACTCTTCCCACATTGAGTACAGGTAAATGGCTTCTCTCCAGTGTGGATCCTCATGTGAATCTTAAGACTTTGTTTGGTTCTGAAACTCTTTCCACACTGACTGCAGGTAAAATCATTTCGGTCTCCACTTTTCCTTGATAAAAAACCTTCAGTCAGTAAATGAGATGTTTTCCTTGCCTTTACAAGTGTCTGCTCTTCCCTCTTCTCATTCTCTTTAAGGTCTAAAAAAAATTGTAAAAAATAAATAAATGAATAAATTAGCAAGTAAATAAAGAAAAAAATTATGAAAAAGTAAAATGACTCAAATTACTGAAGAATCACAAACTTTCAGTGGTGTGCAGCGTTTTAAATCCTTCCCAATGTCAGTATCAGGACATTGGGACAATTTTTGCAACATATTAAAAATATGATATTAAAAAAGATACAGTCTCTATATTTTACACTGCCAATAAAGCTAATTTATTTTTCTATTTTTAAAAAAAAACACATTTCCTAGTGCACATAAACAAATAAACTGATTAAAGTTTTTAATCCTTGTTGTTCTTTAGCCTGAATAATGAAGAATCAGCAATAAACACCAACCTGTTTGTTCTTCAGTCTCTTCCAGTTTAATTCTGCAGGGTTCTGGATCACTCATGTTCTCTCCGTCCTTCAGTAAACTCTTTGCAGATTTCACTTCCTCCTGATGGTCTGAAGCTCGTCTTCACTTGTGGTCTGATGGGAATATTCCAGTATTTATAGCTGAACTGATGAGGGGGAGGAGCTTCACTACAGGGGAGGAGCAGACCGGCCAATAGTAGAAATTCTCCAGTCATTTTCCTATCTCTTTTATATATATATATATGAGCAATATCACACGAGTAGCAGTGCAATATAGCTGTATATCGGCACTGGTGGGAGGCGTGCATTGGCAGGAGACCACAGACGGAATGCCTTAGTGTCCCAACCAATGCTCATATACAGCCATATCGCACTGCTACTCGTGTAATATTGCATTTATACAACAGTTTGACAACATAATTGTGTATATAAAAACAAAATCAAATAAGGAGAGTCTCAAAAACCCTTTTGTACGAGGAACTACTTTCTTCCGCGTTAGAATATATATAAAACATGTTTTGCCTACTATTCTCCATTATCAGCATTTTATTTTAATTACATATTATTATATACACACATATATATATATATATATATATATATATATATATATATATATATATATATATATATATATTAAGGGTGGAGCAGAACCAGAATACGGTATTCGGAAAGGCACGAATAGCGTGATTTTACGAATACTTATTTCGAACAAATACTTGAAAAATTATTTGTATTCGGGAGCAAGAAAAACACTATATCAAAAAGCAGCGTTTCCTCATGGGACCACAGTGCATGCCCGCTTGAGTGAGAGAGAGAGAGAGAGAGACGCTATGTCGGAGGGCGGGGCGGAGGTAAAAGCTGTCTCGCACAAGTTTCTCCACAGCAGCAGACAGAGAAGGCTCGGCTGAGCGAAAAAAATACTTCATTGCATCACTATTTTTGATAAATAGATTTTTGTACCTTAATTGGGTTCCAGATGCAGTTTATAAACTTGTAGCGGAGTTTGATATTCCATTACGCTGCATTTTTGAAGTTTGCAATCGGGTGCTCTCTGTTTACGCAACGTTAGCTCTGTTAGCGCGGTAATTTAGACAATAGACTTTTGACAGAGTAACGTTAACGTTTGTTTATAAAGGTTAAAACGATGCTTGTGCAGTTGTGTCGCATATTATGCACTTATGGGAGTTATATGGTACGTCTACATTACTGTCTTTTGCAGACAGCAAGATATATGCTATAGGCTAGTTAACCTTAGCAAAGCTTCCCGTCACTTTTTATTAACTTGAAACTCCTCAAATACATTTGGGCACCCGAATAGAAAAAGAGTGAGACTGCTGCTGAGCCATTTCTTGGTCCTCCACCAGTCAAAAAAAAAAACAAAAAAAAACTTCATGTTCTTTGTGGAAGAATTTTACAGTGAGTGGAGCTGCAGATAAAACAAACTGATACTGTATAATGTGTGCAAAAGTGAAATCAGCAGAGGCAGAGATATTAAACATCTGTTAACATCTTCTATGCATAATCATTCATTTCTTTTCGGCTAAGTCCCTTTATGAATCTGAGGTTGCCACAGTGGAATGAACCACCAATTTATCCAGCATATGTTTTACGCAGTGGCTGCCCTTCCAGCTGCTACCCAGCACTGGGAAACATCCATACACTCTCTTTCACACACATACAAGGGACAATTTAGGTTACCCAATTCACCTGTATTGCATGTGTTTGGACTGTGGGGGAAACCGGAGCACCCGGAGGAAACCCACGCCAACATGGGGAGAACCCAGTCAGGGCTCGAACCAGCAACCTTCTTGCTGTGAGCCGACAGTGGTACTCACTGTGCCACTGCGCAACCTTCTATGTAATGTATTATCACATGCACTAAAAGCATCCTCTCCTGATAACGTCTGTGACCCCCACAAGCATCAATCCCCTCAATCAGCACAGCTATGCTCTGCTAAATCCTCCACAAGCACCAAACCATCAACACAGCCACATTCTGCCCCAGCAAGTCAGTTTCAAACATAAAAAAAAAAAAAACTTTGTGTCTGTTTTGTGGCTGGCAGATGACAATAGCAGGCCTGTATCTTTTAGTATTATATAGAATACTTTTGTTCTGCCAGATCTCCCAGGCAGGGGTTTATTTAGATTTATTTAGTTAATTTTAGTTTTTGGAATTCTGACCATTGGAAAGAAGTTCTTTCAGAAGAAGAACAGTTTTTTTGAAGTATTATTTGTTTTTATTCTGTCTATTCAGTGTCAAGAACGGTGGTGGTGGGGTTCATAATATTCACAATGGTATTTTATTAGTTGTTGGTTTAACCATGGGTGAGATAATGGCTTCTATGTTATTTTCTTTTCAATGACATTTCTTGTCACATGTTCAAAAACAACAACCAATATTGCATGTCTATAATTTATATAATGGGTATAATTAAACAATACTTTCACTATAACGTAAATTAGAAGTGTAATAGAAAAAATATATATTTTTGCGCCATTTTGAATTTTACTCGAATACAAATACAAATACTTTCCCCCCTCAACAAATACAAATACAAAATACTTTTCCCCCTCAACAAATACAAATACCGGCTGCTCCACTCATCCCTAATATATATATATATATATATATTATTATTATTATTATTATTATTTAACCCACAGATTCAAAGAGAACCACAGGTCAACAGGGAGATTGCAAAAGAGCAGCTTCTGCTTTAAGCTGAACTGACTGAATATCAACTATTAAGGAATGAGGCTGTTTTTGTGCCTAGTTTGAAATAATAAATCTCAGAACTGGAGAAACTGCATTACTACGTTCATTTTAATATAGCATATAAATAATGAAATCCAAAAATTATACTATTAAATTAAGAGTTAACTTTAATTTTCTCGTGGCCCACCTGTAGGATCGCTGAGGACCACAAGCTTAAGCCAGCAGGCCGTATGTTTGACACCCCTGGTCTAAGCAATAAAAAAAATTCTGTCATATATGCATTAAAAACAATCAGGAAAAAGTGTTTCATGTAAATTGGGATCACGAGTCCACATATATAGACATATTTTTTCTCTAAAAGTACCTCATATCAAAAGAGGACATTTTTATTCTATTTAGCTTCCAATAAGCCCAAATAGCAAAGAGAAATAAAAAAATGCATGTAAAAAAACAAGTTGGGCCTTAAGAGGTTAATGTTCAGAGCCTCAGACTATTAACATCCATTAAACCAGCCATTCAGAAATGTCCACTGATTTTGACAGCAAAGTTTAAACAGTAAAATGAAATATACTGCTATATAAATCATGCTAAGACAAAAGAAAACTGTTTATAACTATGCTGATTATTTTATAACGCTTTAATGGTGCTGGAAGCTTGCTGCAGATACTAATACTGTAGATGTTCTGATAAATAGTATTGTTTCACATTTAACGGCATTATTTCACAATAAAAAAGAAAATCACAAAATGACGGTAAAACATTTCTACTTGCCAATATAAATTAATCTGTTTTTAAGTACCACATTCATGACACCAACACTGGTTTCAATAGGTGATTGTGTTGTTTAATGAAGTCTGTTGACTCAAAATGAGCTTAATTGGGGAATTTACACATGTGAAGACATCAGCATAATGAAGGAGGTGAAAACAGACACTATTGACATGAACTATTGAGGATTTCAGCAGCTCTGATTATAGTGATGAGCCTCAGACTATTAACGGCCATTAAACAAGCCATTCAGAAGTGTCCACTGATCTGCCCGCTTAAAAAATAAAGACAACCGAGTTTCACTCTTTCATCCAAACTTTATTTCAAGTCTACAGGTTAGAAAATAATTACAGCAAAGATTAAACAGTACAATACAATCTATTGCTAAATGATAAAACATGTGCGAAGATGAATAATCCTACATTTATAACTATGCTGGTTGTTTTATAATGCTTTAATGGTGCTGGAATCATGCTGCACACACAGAGAATACTGTAGATGTGCTGATAAATTATATTGTTTTATATTTAACAGGGTTTGATTTATTAATATACAGAGAACTAAATAAACACACATTTCTACTTGGGAATATGAATTTAAATTCATGTTTTCAATTATAACATTTATTAAAGTGTTAGTCTATCAATACTGACCTTTAATACTGAAATCATTAAAATACACCATTCGGTTTTTCTGTCGAACACAATAAATGTAGTAAAACAGGAGAGAATCTTGAATCTCAGAGTAAACAAATCACTGATAAGAGAAAATACACAAACAACTGGACAGACTTTCCCCACTCACACCTGTATTTTCTCATATTCACACATGAAACACTCGTTCCTGATGAGAAACTGTTTTGCTGCATTGATGTCAAGTGTGCTGCTTTTCTCCAGTGTGGATTTTCATGTGTTTCTTAAGAGTAATAAACTGTACGAAACTCTTCAGACACTGATCACATGTGTACGGTTTCTCTCCAGTGTGAATCCTCTCATGTGTTTTCAGGTTTGCTGGCTGACTGAATCTCTTGTCGCAGTGTGAACACTTATACGGTTTCTCTCCAGTGTGAATCCTCTCATGTGTTTTCAGGTTTGCTGGCAGACTGAATCTCTTATTGCAGTGTGAACACTTGTAAGGTTTCTCTCCAGTGTGATTCATCTGATGCAGTTTCAATTCTCCAGCTGTAATGAAAGTCTTCTCACACTCAAAGCACATATACTCTTTCACACCAGTGTGGATCTTCTGATGTGTTCTTAAATTTGTTATCCGTGTAAAACTCTTTCCACACTCAGAACAGGAATAAGGTTTCTCCTTTGTCTGAACTCTAAGATGGTTCTTCAGCTCTGAAGCCCTCAAAATTTTTGCCGCATTGATCACATTTGTGAGTTTTCTCTCCAGTGTGAATCATCATGTGTAGATTAAGGCTTGATAATTGTCTGAAACTCTTCCCACATTGAGTACAGGTAAATGGCTTCTCTCCAGTGTGGATCATCATGTGAATCTTAAGACTTTGTTTGGCTCTGAAACTCTTTCCACACTGACTGCAGGTAAAATCATTTCGGTCTCCACTTTTCCTTGATAAAAAACCTTCAGTCAGTAAATGAGATGTTTTCCTTGCCTTTACAAGTGTCTGCTCTTCCCTCTTCTCATTCTCTTTAAGGTCTAAAAAAATTGTAAAAAATAAATAAATGAATAAATTAGCAAGTAAACAAAGAACAAAGAAAAAAATTATGAAAAAGTAAAATGACTCAAATTACTGAAGAATCACAAACTTTCAGTGGTGTGCAGCGTTTTAAATCCTTCCCAATGTCAGTATCAGGACATTGGGACAATTTTTGCAACATATTAAAAATTAGGATTTTATTACTTTTATTTAGAAATTTAATAATCTGAACAAAACAAATCTCCTTGGTTAATACTTAGTTTGGTCTTATGATCGTAAATGTTAAATTAATCTTTTACAAATTGCAAAAGATACAGTTTCTATATTTTACACTGCTAATAAAGCCCATTTATTTTTCTGTTTTTTTAAAAAAAACATTTCCTAGTGCACATAAACAAATAAACTGATTAAAGTTTTTAATCCTTGTTGTTCTTTAGCCTGAATAATGAAGAATCAGCAATAAACACCAACCTGTTTGTTCTTCAGTCTCTTCCAGTTTAATTCTGCAGGGTTCTGGATCACTCATGTTCTCTCCGTCCTTCAGTAAACTCTCTGCAGATTTCACTTCCTCCTGATGGTCTGAAGTTCGTCTTCACTTGTGGACTGATGGGAATATTCCAGTATTTATAGCTGAACTGATGAGGGGGAGGAGCTTCACTACAGGGGAGGAGCAGACCGGCCAATAGTAGAAATTCTTCAGTCATTTTCTTTTCTCTTTTATATATATATATATATGAGCAATATCACACGAGTAGCAGTGCAATATAGCTGTATATCGGCACTGGTGGGAGGCGTGCATTGGCAGGAGGCCACAGACGGAGTGCCTTAGTGTCCCAACCAGTGCCCATATACAGCCATATCGCACTGCTACTCGTGTGATATTGCATTTATACAACAGTTTGACAACAATAATTGTGTATATAAAAACAAAATCAAACATGGAGAGTCTCAAAAACCCTTTTGTACGAGGAACTACTTTCTTCCGCGATAGAATGTATATATATATGTATATGTATATATATATATATATATATATATATATATATATATATATATATATAATACAACTGGACAGACTTTCCCCACTCTCACACCTGTATTTTCTCATATTCAGACATGAAACACTCGTTCCTGATGAGAAACTGTTTATAAGTATATATATAATATATATTATTATTATTTAACCCACAGATTCAAAGAGAACCACAGGTCAACAGGGAGATTGCAAAAGAGCAGCTTCTGCTTTAAGCTGAACTGACTGAATATCAACTATTTAGGAATGAGGCTGTTTTTGTGCCTAGTTTGAAATAATAAATCTCAGAACTGGAGAAACTACATTACTACGTTCATTTTAATATAGCATATAAATAATGAAATCCAAAAATTATACTATTAAATTAAGAGTTAATTTTAATTTTCTCGTGGCCCACCTGTAGGATCGCTGAGGACCACAAGCTTAAGCCAGCAGGCCGTATGTTTGACACCCCTGGTCTAAGCAATAAAAAAAATTCTGTCATATATGCATTAAAAACAATCAGGAAAAAAGTGTTTCATGTAAATTGGGATCACGAGTCCACATATATAGACATATTTTTTCTCTAAAAGTACCTCATATCAAAAGAGGACATTTTTAATCTATTTAGCTTCCAATAAGCCCAAATAGCAAAGAGATATAAAAAAATGCATGTAAAAAAAACAAGTTGGGCCTTAAGAGGTTAATGTTCAGAGCCTCAGACTATTAACATCCATTAAACCAGCCATTCAGAAATGTCCACTGATTTTGACAGCAAAGTTTAAACAGTAAAATGAAATATACTGCTATATAATTCATGCTAAGACAAAAGAAAACTGTTTATAACTATGCTGAATATTTTATAACGCTTTAATGGTGCTGGAAGCTTGCTGCAGATACTAATACTGTAGATGTTCTGATAAATAGTATTGTTTCACATTTAACGGCATTATTTCACAATAAAAAAGAAAATCACACAATGACGGTCAAACATTTCTACTTGCCAATATAAATCAATCTGTTTTTAAGTACCACATTCATGACACCAACACTGGTTTCAATAGGTGATTGTGTTGTTTAATGGAGTCTGTTGACTCAAAATGAGCTTAATTGGGGAATTTACACATGTGAAGACATCAGCATAATGAAGGAGGTGAAAACAGACACTATTGACATGAACTATTGAGGATTTCAGCAGCTCTGATTATAGTGATGAGCCTCAGACTATTAACAGCCATTAAACAAGCCATTCAGAAGTGTCCACTGATCTGCCCGCTTAAAAAATAAAGACAACCGAGTTTCACTCTTTCATCCAAACTTTATTTCAAGTCTACAGGTTAGAAAATAATTACAGCAAAGATTAAACAGTACAATACAATCTATTGCTAAATGATAAAACATATGCGAAGATGAATAATCCTACATTTATAACTATGCTGGTTGTTTTATAATGCTTTAATGGTGCTGGAATCATGCTGCACCCACAGAGAATACTGTAGATGTGCTGATAAATTGTATTGTTTTATATTTAACAGGGTTTGATTTATTAATATACAGAAAACTAAATAAACACACATTTCTACTTGGGAATATGAATTTAAATTCATGTTTTCAATTATAACATTTATTAAAGTGTTAGTCTATCAATACTGACCTTTAATACTGAAATCATTAAAATACACCATTCGGTTTTTCTGTCGAACAAAAGAAATGTAGTAAAACAGGAGAGAATCTTAAATCTCAGAGTAAACAAATCACTGATAAGAGAAAATCCACAAACAACTGGACAGACTTTCCCCACTCACACCTGTATTTTCTCATATTCACACATAAAACACTCGTTCCTGATGAAAAACTGTTTTGCTGCATTGATGTCAAGTGTGCTGCTTTTCTCCAGTGTGGATTTTCATGTGTTTCTTAAGAGTAATCAACCTTGTGAAACTCTTCAGACACTGATCACATGTGTACGGTTTCTCTCCAGTGTGAATCCTCTCATGTGTTTTCAGGTGTCCTGTGTGACTGAATCTCTTGTCGCAGTGTGAACACATGTACGGTTTCTCTCCAGTGTGAATCCTCTCATGTCTTTTCATGTCTCCTGACACACTGAATCTCTTGTCGCAGTGTGAACACTTGTACGGTTTCTCTCCGGTGTGAATCCTCTCATGTCTTTTCAGGTTTTCTGGCTGACTGAATCTCTTGTCGCAGTGTGAACACTTGTACGGTTTCTCTCCGGTGTGAATCCTCTCATGTCTTTTCAGGTTTTCTGACTGACTGAATCTCTTGTCGCAGTGTGAACACTTATACGGTTTCTCTCCAGTGTGATTCCTCTCATGTGTTTTCAGGTGTCCTGTGTGACTGAATCTCTTATTGCAGTGTGAACACTTGTACGGTTTCTCTCCAGTGTGATTCATCTGATGCCGTTTCAATTCTACAGCCGTAATAAAAGTCTTCTCACACTCAAAGCACAGATACTCTTTCACACCAGTGTGGATCTTCTGATGTGTTCTTAAATTTGTCTGCTGAGTAAAACTCTTTCCACACTCAGAACAGGAATAAGGTTTCTCCTTTGTGTGAACTCTAAGATGGTTCTTCAGCTCTGAAGCCCTCAAAAATGTTTTGCCACATTGATCACATTTGTGTGTTTTCTCTCCAGTGTGGATACGCATGTGTTTATTATGGTTTGATAAATCTCTGCAACTCTTCCCACATTGAGTACAGGTAAATGGCTTCTCTCCAGTGTGGATCCTCATGTGAATCTTAAGACTCTGTTTGCCTCTCAAACTCTTTCCACACTGACTGCAGGTAAAATCATTTCGGTCTCCACTTTCCATTGAAAAAATACCTCCAGTCAGTAAATGAGATGTTTTCCCAGCTTTTACGAGTGTCTGCTCTTCCCTCTCCTCATTCTCTTTAAGGTCTAAAATAAAATATGAATAAATTAGCAAGTAAAAAAACAAAGAGACTCAAAACACTGAAGATACACAAACCTTCTCAATGTTAATATCAGGTTTGCAACATGTTAAATAAAAAAAAATTATTTTATTTAGAAATTTAATAATCTGAACAAAACAAATCTCCTCTGGTAATATTTAGTTTGATCTTGTGATAGTAAATGTTTAATAAACCTTTTACACATGGCAAAAGAGATACAGTCTCTATATTTTACACTGCTAATGAAGTGCATTTATTTTTGTCCATTAATAAACACATTTCCTAGTGCACATAAACAAATAAACTGATTAAAGTTTTTAAATCCTTATTGTCTTTAGCCTAAAATAATAAAGAATCAGCAATAAACACCAACCTGTTTGTTCTTCAGTCTCTTCCTGTTTAATTCTGCAGGGTTCTGGATCACTCATGTCATCTCTGTCCTTCAATAAACTCTGACTTTGCAGATTCCACGTCCTCCTGATTGTCTGAAGTTCATCTTCACTTGTGGACTGATGGGAATATTCCAGTATTTATAGCTGAACTGATGAGGGGGAGGAGCTTAACTATAGGGGAGGAGCTTAATTACAGGGAGGAGCAGACCTGCCAATAGTAGAAATTCTTCAGTCATTTTCTTTTCTTCTAATTAACACATTTGTTCATTTATGTCACTCATTTTAAATAAATTAATTACAAAGTGTTTTATTATGTTTTATTGCAACAATTATAAATACCAAATATAATCATTAAATTAAACCATTAGTTTAAATATAATCATTTAATAAACCATTAGTTTAGTGATACCAAAGAGCATAGAATCACCAAGAGGCGACACTCTAGTGCGATTTGGGAAACAGCCACTAGATGGCGCGGCAGCCATTTTGGAATGAAAACTCCAATAAAACAACAGGATATTATAAGTCTGTAAATCAAACTATTAAAAGTGCTGATGATTGTGATAATAAGTGTTGTTTTGTCATCTTTCAGGTTGAATCTCAGCTTTAAGCTGCGGTCACACTGGGCTTTTCCTCTCATAGACTTCCATTCATACGCACTCGTATGCGTCAGACCGGAAGCGCAGGGTCATGCGTTAAGTTTCGCAGGTTGCTGCAGTGCAAAGTTCAAGCTTGGTGAACTCTGACCTACGAAATCGCATCACTTGACTGTGTGAGACCAATCGAGAATCAAACATGAACTCCCAGGTAAAAAAAAAGTGCACTAAAATACACTTATTTAAGTATACTTAGTACACTTTTCAGTAATTTTTGTAATATTTACAGATATAGTATGTTAAAAGCACATTTAATTCAATTTCTGGGTGTCTCAAAATAGCACATTTGAGTACACTTAGATGGTATTAAGTTTATCTTAACATATACTTAATACTATCTTTTAGCACATTAAGTACAAAATTAGTGTGCGAAAATAGAGCACTTTTAGTACAGTACTGAGAAATGTACTAAGTATACTTAAATAAAGTGCATTTTAGTGCACTTTTTTTTTTTACCTGGGATAATTTGTGTACAAAGAAAACAGCATCTGTGCTTCATCAAAACACTTTAATATTTTTGTGCAAGTCCAAAAATACCTTATGGGAGAGAACAAAAAAATATAAATAAGATGCAACATTACAGCACATATATCAAATGTAAAGACATTTTGGGAAAATGTACTTCTACTTAAAATTACTTAAAAACTTAAAATTACCCCACTCAAAATCAATTTAGAGGGTCACGAAACACCAAAACACATTTTTTTGAGCTGTTAACAGTCGTATATGTGTTCCACACTGCTAAAAACACTATTAGGACACCTATATTTCACTAAAAACTGTAAATTGGTTGTTTTTGCGTTATTTCAAGCAAATTTGTACTTCCGGTTTAAAACGAATTTTTGAAGCTGCGTCACGGTCATGACATAATAGCGTGTATTCCAGCGTGCAGACTGGACGCCTGTGCCAGATTGTGTCTTATTACGTCTTACAGTGTGATGCATTAATGCATGAGTAAGGCTTGGTTCAAACCAATCAGCGCGCTCCATTGTGCAACTTCATTAATATTCATTACTGTCACAGTGTTTAGACGACAGAGACGCCACGTTTTGGCAAAACAAGCGTGAAGTGTGGCTTTTATAGTTTGCTGCCGTTACATTTTGTTTTCATTTTCTCTCTGTGAGAGCTCAGCTGGATCACGTGTTGATTAACAGTGTACGCGACACTCGACAACAATAACTTGCGTGTCTAAGGAGGAACATTGTTTACCTGAGAGCTGTTCTCATCTGCAAACGCTGAGATCTGGATTCGCTTGTAGTCTCCTCTTAATAAAGACGCGGCTCTAGTTGCTGGTGATTCTCCTGTCTCTACAGATTTGGTAAGTAAGCGAGCAGTGCTCTTTGTTTATTCAGTTTGTTCGTATTGAACTAAGTTAACTATTGCACCGAGTGTAAACATGTTAGCACTACAACCAAACTTTAACCTCGTGTAGGGTTTTTACCGCATTTTGTGACCGGAATAACACACGCGGCTTTCTGACGCTACCTGCCGTGTGCATCTAAGTTTCCGGGAAATGCTGAGCTTTTTTTTCTCTCATTCGCCGTGCGGTATCAAACATTGCATGAAAAATACACGCTTAGAGCAGCTCCTCGAATCAAATATCTTGTTTGTCGCGAGGTGCATGAATGAATTCCCTGAATGAAAAAGCCAAACTGCAGTTAAAGTCCACCATTTAATAATTTGGCAAATAATTCGACCAAAGATGTCCATGTAAACACAGTCACATTGTCCGCTGTGGTTGTGTGTTTTGACTCGGAAAGTCAGCGTGCCCAAATAGACACTCCCACACCATGCCTCTTTACTTCCTCCGACACTCCCCCCTAAACAAAACTGGACACGCCCACTTTTCTGACTTTTTCCAAAGTAGAGGTGTGAAAACACCCTGCTGAAACGAGGGGGTTTCATGGCCCTTTAAGTGTTATTGATAATATTGCATTCACATTAAGTGAACTTTTGGGAAAATGTACTTCTACTACAATACATTACTAATAGATTTTTTATATATTAACTAATTTTAAACTTAGGATTAGTATTTAAACAGTGTACTAAAAATCAACTAATGTTTAAAGCATTTAAAGCACACTTGAAAAACGTCTGAAAAAGTCTTTTGGATGTTTTTTTCTGTAGTGTACTTTATTGTAGTACACTAAAAATGTTTTTAAGTATTACTGGTATTTAGTATACTTTTGTCAAGTCCTACTTAAGTATAAACATACTTTTAATGAGTATATTTATAGTGTAAAACCATCAAACTTTTATTTAACACAAAAAAATAACAATGTACTAAAAATGTATTTGTGGGTATTGAAGTGTATTTTAGTTGCATGCAATTATATATTTTTTCACCTGGGCTCTCTGTACATTTAAATCATGGAGCAATCGCTCGCTTTTTAAAATGCCTAATAAGCTAATTTAATCCCGTCCCTTTCCGTAGAGCCACATGATAGAATATCGCATGCTCAAACTGTAGAGTGACCATAGATTTAATGTGCTTTTTAAATAAATAATTAAAAAACAAAGCAGCTGCTCGCCATCATGACAGCAATAAGATCCAATAGACAACCAATCGCTTTCTCGGAAATGGCGGAATCCAGGGCTGTTGCTGGGCGCTGCTGTTGCAATGGAACGTTCTATTGAGTGTCGCCTCTTGGTCATTCTAAGCTCATCGATGATACTAATCTATCAATAAGCCACACCCCTTAGTTACTGTTGCCAACTCAAAAACAAACAATGCATTTTAAATCAAAAATGCAGTGGAGAGGTAAATAAAATAAATGTGGTGTACAAGATATCACAATCGCACAAACATCTCCATAGACAGACAGCTGGTAGTATGGTAAAATATTTGTGCTTTTAAACATTCTCCTAAAAAGTTTTTGAAATATAAGTGTGATGTTGAAAAATGACTGGCCGTTTTATACGAGAACAAATAGAAGAACAGTAGCTATGTTTCCATCCAAAAATGCGAATAAACTTTATGCGCAGAACTGGATTATCGCATAAAAGTTGTGCGAATGAAGCATCGTTTCCATCTAACGAGTCAAAGCGAACAAAATCGTCACTTCCTGATTAACTGCCGCCAAATATCAACAGTAAAAACTGCATTTGCTGCAGTAGAGAAGCTGCATCAATCTTTCCTAAATGAATGCGCCTCAGAAGACAATCCTGACAAGCAGTGAGCGCGCAGTGGCGTTTGAAGGTGTCAGACGCGGAGCACAGTCGCTCTTGATTCTGAAGGTCATTAATAATATAATAACACTAATACTGAAATGGTAAGGCGTTTTATAATGACCAAAACAACATTTCAGATGTTTTATAATGTGCTCAGCCTGACGTTTTATCCATTCACACACATTTTTTAACAAAATCACAAGACCTTTTTAATGCGCATGCTGGAGTTTGTGCGGTAAAAGGGTTTCCATCGCAGTTTATGCGCATCTTTTCTTATCGAATAAAAAGTTTATCCTACCCAGTTAGGCGCATACGTTTTTTATGCGCATTTTTAAAATTTATGCGCATTATGGCGTTTCCATCAACTGTTTTTTAAATGCGCATTTTGCAAATGCGCATAAAAAAACCAGTTGACGTAAACGCCATGATGCGCATGGGTGGATGGAAACATAGCTGTTGTGTACTAAGTCAAAGTCTCTTCAAGGCAAGACATTTCACTCAGCGAGCATCTTTCAGCGTAGTATGCTCAGGCATTCTGTCTGAATGGGGAAACATTAAATATTCCAAAACTGTTTGCCAAACTTACGATTACATTACATATTTGAAATTACCAATAAAATAAACATTATGGCGTTTCCATCAACTGTATTTTTTATGCGCATTTGCAAAATTTGAGGACAAGAACTGAATAATAAAGTAAATCTAAGACAACACAGCTGGGAGTGGGATAAAATATATATATATATATGAATATAAACATATATATATGAATATAAACATATATATATATATATATATATATGAAACAGTGGCGCAGTAGGTAGTGCTGTCGCCTCACAGCAAGAAGGTCACGGGTTTGAGCCTCGGCTCAGGTGGCATTTCTGTTTGGAGTTTGCATGTTCTCCCTGCGTTCGCGTGGGTTTCCTTTGGGTGCTCCGGTTTCCCCCACTGTCCAAAGACATGCGGTACAGGTGAATTGGGTAGGCTAAATTGTCCGTAGTGTATGAGTGTGTGTGTGGATGTTTCCCAGAGATGGGTTGCGGCTGCATCTGCTGCGAAAAAATGTCCTGGATAAGTTGGCGGTTCATTCCGCTGTGGCGACCCTGGATTAATAAAGGGACTAAGCCGACAAGAAAATGAACGAATGGTCCCATGTAATATCTGTCCCCCAGCATTGTGGAATTCTGCCCAACAAAGTAAAAGTAGTAAAACAGGAGAGAATCTTGAACCTCAGAGTAAAGAAAATTTATTGATACGACAAAATACACAAAACAAATGCATAAAC